ATCGGTGATCTTAAATTGATGTTATTTTTGCTAAAGCAGAAGCATCATTTTTAATTGGCATATTAAAATTATATCTGTTAAAGAGCCATGAGATGAGGAAAATGAATCCCTCAAAGAATCTTTATACTTTGTTTGCTTCTTAATGTACAGTTGATGATTCAGTTTCAGGTTTTCATAATTAACCAACTTTTGACCTTAAAGTTTTTATCTATGCTGATTAGGTTCCAATCAAGACCTTGTTAATAGATGGAAACTATCAGGTGGAGGATCGTGGCTTGAAGACTCACCATGGACTTGTAAGTTGCCTTTTGCTAGTTTGCTTAAGTCTCTGCTCCCATATTTAGCCTATAATGGTGTTGTTGTAATTGTAAGGTGTAGTTTTGATGACATATGCTTTGTTATTTTTTTTTTAGTGCTAACATGAAAAACAATAAATATTTTTCTGGTTGTTTCTCTAAGTTTCCTTTATTTAGGCTTCAAGGTCCACAAAATGGTGGCCGCCTTCAGATTTTTAGTTAAATTCAGCTAATCAATATTTTCTTAATTTTTCAAAATTCTAGTTTTTTTTTTGGTCAAAGTTGGAAGAGATTATGCATCGATTTTTCTGTTCTTTCTTCAGATGGATAGAACATGCCATTTGATTCTAACTTTGCTCTTATCACCATGTCAAAGACAAACATAGATTTTGTTGGACCATACAATAATAGATTTTGGTTGATACATAGGACTTGTGTTGTATAATTTCTGTACTACAAACTTACATTTTCTTATATGTAAAGTTTTTAGTAGAAAACCTTCAAAATACACAAGCATTCATTGATCTTAAAATCCAACTTATTGACTTTATTGCACTCATCATAAGTAGTAGGATGGTTGTGGTGTCTAAAGTGTTCTTTATTCATCACAGCACTGGTACAAGATGTACCTCTCCATGGGGCGGCCGCAGTCAGTGCAGACAATTCTTTCTGGTATCTTCCCAACAGTAGTGGGCAGCAGGAGCCGGTTGCAGTGCTGTGGGGTATGAATCCGCAGGAGGTATTCATGTATTGCCTTCACAAATCCCTTAGGCTGCACATCTCCCTTCCACTGGTTATATTCAGAAAGGCAGGTTAAAAATATGCTCCCTTTTGCTCGGGTCATCTCTGCTGTACCTCTACTGATTAAAGCCCAGCCACCCCCTGTGGCATCAAATGTGAGCAGGGTCATGATCTCCCGCATTATAGGATCATTCTCCACTGTTTTCCCAAGTTGATTCTTGGAGTAACACATGCTCTCTATCCTAATCCAGAACCACCAAATTGAGGTGAGATCTGGCAAGTAGTGGCTGAGCTTTTCTGCAACGATGGTCAACATGTTACTCTTAACACGCTCCTTTGGATTGCTTTTTCCAACATAAACCAAGGCCAAGGGGACTGCTGCAGCTCGTGCGACAGTATTAGCTGTTGTTGTGAATTTTCTGATCCACTCAATGTCCTCTCCTCCATACAGGCAAATGAATCTTCCTTCGTCCATCTGGTAAAAAGTATAGAATTTCAGTCCCACTTGATCATGCAGATAAATATGATTATAGAATTAGTGTGTGCTTCGTGATTGCAGACAGTATGAGTGTATTTTTTCTGTTTAGCTAATTTAATAATTAAGGCTCACAACTTTCCCAAGTGCATTTTTAATGCATCTAAATTAAAACAAGTGGCAGACAAAGAAAAGCCCTTTGTACAAGGGTCCATGTGCCGCTTTTTTGGTTTAGAGGCTTAAAGTCGCACTTGTGCAAGTTGTGGGGTCACAATTATTAATTTGGCCTTTTGGTTTTCAATGGAGCTACATAACGTGCTAGAAATAGAAATATGAGACAAACATACCCAGTTCATAATTTGCTGATCAATGTTATCCACCAACAACTCAAGTCTCCAAGTTTCTCCATTCCACAGGGCTTCTTCCCTTGCAGTTGTGAAGGGGAAGGCCAAACTCCCCCAAATCCTCATCATGTGGAGTGCATCTGGGCATGCAACCCTTCCTTGTGGATCTAGAACCACAAGAATAGGCTTCTTCTGAAACTTCCACTCTTCCTTGACAAACTTGATCACTGCTCGGTCAAGCAAAGAAGGATGGTGTAATGTATACCATGTCATGCTAGCCTGAAGATTCTCAAATTGCTTCTGCCTGCTCTCAATTAATGGAACAGATGGATCCACTATTGGGAGCCACACAAGCTCATATTGGCTCTCCAGCCTTGCTGGTTGGCTCCGGGCTTCACTGTATATATGTTCAAGTATGGAGACCTCGTCCTGCAGGATGTCTAGGTCTGATACCAGCAGGAGGACATTTTTTTGCCTTAAGACTTCAATATGAACCTGGTATTGTCACGAAGAAGAAAGCTTAGGCAGGATATTTTCATCTGTAAGACATAAACAACAAAGTACTTTTGGCTTTGAAGTACCAAACTTATATAGATTCTAATGTTGGAGAATATAAGACTGATCAATTCGGAATTTTTTTAACAATAGAGAGCATAAATGTCAACAAAGACCAAACCCTTCTCTTTGTGAATCCATCAACAAGTGGTTGTGGATCATCCTTTGGGTTAATCAACGCCTTGAGAACCTTCATGTTGTCAATATGGGTTCTTGTCTCAAGCAAATGCACAAGGTTCTGATACTCTTCAATATATTTCTTCTCATCTGCATCAATGTGTGATTACATTATTACCACTTTTCATCTGTGTATCAAATGACATCTATCTGCCAAAGTAAAATGGCTTCAAACTCACCTATGTCCTTGTAGCAGGTAGCTAGCAAAGATGCTAGGTGGCTGTTCAAATTGCTGAGCTTGTGAGTTAGAGTTGAAAACTCCCAGGACTCTGCGGTGGATAAAAAGTGCCTGATACCAATAACAACTTGTGTGTTTTAGTTTGTGATGAAGTGATTCCAGCACGTAACAATGAAAGTCTATTGAATTCAGTATTAAACACTTACTCGCTCCCCAACTCTGTGAGGCTAATGATCTGAGAGGCACAGGCCAGCATGCATCTTATAGTCCAATAGACAGCTAACGGTATATGGGTCATTGCCGTGGACAGTGCATGATGATCCGCTGTAATATACTGGGATGGTAGCTCTTTGAACTCAACTATGCTACGGGCAATATCTAGCATGGAAATGATGAGAGTTTTGATTGCTTCAAACCGGGATTGCAGAATGTTGGTGTGCTGTAAGATTTCAGGCAATTGTCTAAGGGTTGCCAGCTGTTTGGCTAGCTGGTTTGAGGTGTAGCTCTGTGCAAGGAGCCAGAATTCACCATAGTTCATGGCAAAAGATGATAACGCTATCACCAATTTGGCATCCCACCAATAGTTTGACACCATTTTCAATATTGATATTGCTGCTTCATGTGCCTCCCCACCTCCTGTGCACCTGTATGTTATCTGCAATAATTCTTGATCAAATTAGCACAAGGAGAGGGAATGGCAAGGGAATAGAAGAAGAGAGAAAGCTTCACAACCTCAGAAGCAATTCGATCAATCAGAAATGACAAAGCTTCAAGCATGCTGGCCACAGTAGCTTGGTATGTCTTGTCCTCCAATGCCTCTGACTGTGCCTGCATCCCATGTTACATTAAAACATACTAGCACCTTGATATGCACTACATCATTAAAAAAAATATATACAAATCAGCTTATTTTGAATCTAGCTTTAGGCCATTACCGGGCTAACAATGGCATCAATGGCAGGCGTGGATTGCTTGAAGATGTCTTCAACAATGAGCAGGAGAGGTTTGACATTGATTTCACGGCCATCAGGAGAATGAGTTGCCTGGATTTGCTTCAGCATCATAGTATCATCAGATGCTGAGAGCATGATTAAGCTGCCTCTTTTTGGCTGCTGGACATAGGCTGCAGGATTTCCAATGGCACCCTCCATGGAAGCTAAACAGAATGCAGGACAGCAAAAGGTGTGATGAAGAGGTTAACTGAGTTTTTCCAATATTAAGCTTCAGCATTTTCCTTTATATAATAGCTAGATATAAGGAATAAAGACAAAAGCATACTTGAATCTACTTCCTTACTTCCATAAGGGTTCAATTCCTACTCTGTTTGCACCAAACAAATATATAGCTTTAGCTTTTCCGGAAGCCCCCACAAATCTCTTACAGTAAAAGTCTACATAACTGAATTTGCCAAATATCTTTTAAACCTTAATAATAAGCTTGCACTATAGAAAGTCATTGCTTCACAGCTTTGTAGCAATAAAAAACTACTATGATTGGGAATAAAATAAAGACCGAAGAAAAGGAAAAGCATCAGTTCTTTGCTTTTTTTCCTTTTCAAGAAGTGAAAAAGGCTCTTCTACTTGTCCTTAAAAAAAAACAAACGATTTTTTTTTTTTTTTTTATGTTGGTTGCACAATGAAACACAACCTTCTTTCATACTTTATTTTATCACATCTTCATGTTATGCAATTTGAATTTATAATCTCTTATTTTTAGCAGAAAGAAATTACCATTAAGTTATTTAAGTTGTTGATAAATTTTTTTTTTAATAAAAAACCAAAATATTTAAAAATGAAAAAAAATCTAAATTAAGAAATCAATCTAAAATTAGTCATATTTTATGTTCTTTGCTTTTTCTTTGTCAAGAAGTGAGAAAGGCTCTTCTTCGGGTTCTAAAAAAACAAAGGATCTAAAAAAGAAAAAAAATCTAAATTAAGAAATCAATCTAAAATTAATCATATTTTATGCACAAAAGTTATATGTTAATAATTTTTTAATATATAGGGTGTGTTTATCACACTTTTCCCTATTATGATTTGGGTTTTTTTTTTTTATAATTTGTATAATTAGATTTGAAAAAATAGAAATTGACTTTAAATTTGATCAATTATTTAATTAAATTATGGTACTAGTGTTAAAATTTTGTTTTGTTTTGTTTTTTTACATTTTTGTGTGAAAACTTATTAAAAAATAGTGCAATTAATGGGCACAAGTTTGAAACATCATATTGTTTATATAGAAATTAAGATCTATTTATATATAAATTTTACACCTTGTTGGAGTAAGGATTTATATAGACAAATGAATAAAATCTTATGTAAGTATAGTATACCATATGAGAAAGGATTTTTAGTGATGAAAAATTTTGTGACAAATTTTAAAATTATCACTATAACTTACTATAATCGTAATAAATTTTAAAAATTAATCACAAATACACATATGTTTAATGATGATAAAAAAATTTATTACTGAAAAGATGTTTTGTAACTGTCACACATTCACAAAGAAAATATAAATTTGTAATGAAAAAATTCATTACTATAATTTATCACAATTATAACGATTCATAAATATAGGTTATAGATACATTTATATTCAAGGATAATAAAAAAAATTTATCACTAAAAAGTATCTTATCACTTAAAAATTATTTTGGAGATAATATAGACTTGTAAGAATGAAAATCGCCACTAAAACTTATCATAATTGTGATATATTTTAAGTATTAATCACAAATACCTATATGTTCAATGATGATAAAATAAATCATTTCTAAAAAAGTCACAAATAAAATATAAGTTTTCAATTATGAAAGTTATCATTGTAACTCATTTCAATTGTCATAATTTTAAATATTAGTAATAGATTTCACCCATTTCCACTCATATTATATTTTAATAAATTTATTTTTTGAGAATTTCATTTTAAGCAGATAATTATTTTTTGAAAAAAATACTTGATTGCATAATAACTTAAGTTTCTGAGGCTTAAATTAAAATATTTTAAAAGCTTAAGAGCAAAAAATCTTAAGTTAAAATCTTAAGCAAAAATTGAATAAGTTAAAAGTTTTGAGATCAAAGTATTCATAAAGTAAAAGATTAAGGACCCTATTTACTAGTTTACCAATGAAGAAATTGTAAAGGGGTCCAAAAATTCGACACGGGTTATGTGTCGACACTACAAGGGTAGTGTCGAAACCTTGCGGAAGTGCAAGTACCGCCACCTGCTTTTTTTAATATTTGGTACATAATATCTGTCAAATATTAATATTTTTTATAAATAAAATATTATTTTAATTTAATTGTAACAAGATACTATTAATTTTCTATATTAAAATACTTAAATTTAACCAAATTTATTTACATAATATATATTTATAATTTTAATTTATTCTTTTTTTATATTCAATTTATTATTTTGTTACCAAATAATTACAATTTTTAAACAAATTTTAAAGATAACCATTGTAAAATACCTGCTTTAATTTAACATTTTTATTATGTCTAAATTTTTTTCAGTTAAAGAATATATAATATTAAATTAAAAACTTTAATACTAAATACTTAAAATTTAAAAAATCATTAATAAATTTAAAGTACTAAAAAAAATATAAAAATATTACTCTATATTTAGTTTAGTCTTGTTTAATTTAAATATTTTGTCTAACCATTAATGATCATTACCTTTCTCGTTCAAACCTCTTATTATATATAATTTTACTGTAATATATTTTGATTCTTCATCTATTTTATTTTTAAACCTTTCTCGAATTAATTTTCAAAGATAATGTATACCTTTAAATTTTCGTGTAATTCGAGAATTCACAATTTTCGCGAAATGAAAGAAGCCCGAATTAAAATAATTAACGCGTTTCATAATTCATTATCATATTCTTGGATTCTTTTTCATTGTTTTCACATTAGAAAATGTGATTTACACGTTAAACTTTCTTTTATAAATTTTATTTACATGATAATCATATTAAGTATTTATTAATTCAAAATAGAGCAATGTGATTCAGTAAAGGAAAGTTTTTTTATATTTATTTTTGTATTTATAATATTTGAAATCAAAATTTTATTTAAAAAAATTAATTCAGGTCAATATATTGATCATATTAATTTCTTTTAATTTTTTATTATATAATAAAAAATAATATATCGCATTTTTTATCTCATTTAATTTTTATAATATATAATTTAAAAATAATATTTTTTACTTTTAACAAAATTCATCACCAAATTATTTAATTCGTTTAGGTATTAAACTATTTTAAATGATAGTAAAACATTAACCTATATAATTTCTGTTCTGAACAGAGTGTACTCTAACACTGTAAAAAGAGGATACCCATTTTTGATAATCGATTTGTTAGGTTCTGTAATGTTGGCTTCAGAAATGGAAAATTGCAGTCCATCTTCAACCGCAACAATCTCCCACTGTGTCGTCTCAGTACGTTTTCCAGCTGCCTTTCGAATTGGAGTTGATTTTCTTTACTTAATCTCTTTGGTTGTCAAGAAAATTAGGAGAATGGAAAGTGTGAGGAAGAAAGGTCTCGTCTTTGATGATTTTTAGGTTTATATTTTTAATTTCTCTGCAAGATTACAATGTTTAAGTATGCTTTTTAAGTGTTGAGGATTTGGGTCTGTAATTATCAGAAGTGGGTTTGGGTCTGTAATTATCTGACACTTCAGGTTTCTTGCAATCAACTGAGTGATAATTTTTCCTCTTGAAAGACTTGATGTTTTGCTATCTTGTTTGCAATGCCTTACGTGGGTTTCTTGGCAACGAAAGTACATAACCACAAGCTTCCCCTGAGTAGTTGGTATTTGGCATTGCATGTTGTAGATGGACAAAACCCTCACAAGTAGCATTCATGCATGTTGGTTATTCACCAGGAGGACATAAGTGTCATGTCTCTGCAATACATCTTGCTGGGCATTTTCCCTTTCTTTTTTCGTCAATTATATTATCTTTCAGAATTAGTTTTTGTTATGAACTTATCCCATGTTACTTCTATGCAGCCATCATTTGCATTGTAGTGGTCTTTCAATTATGTCAGGAGCTCCAAGAGATTTAAACGATTCAGCTGAACAGAATAGAGATGGACCGGATTATTTCAGTTACTATACCCATGAAATAGCAAGGCTGTTCTCAGAAAATGAGGATATCATGGTTGTGCCACAAACTTCTAACACCCCTGAGTTGTCTGAAAGAAAATGTAGAGAGACTAATGAGAAGGAGAGGATTGATTCCACTCATAACGCTGATGGTCCTTCTTTTAGTAACAGCATAGGAGCGAGTGTTTCAGATTTCATGAAGGAAAGATTGAAGGCATTACTGATGCAGAGTGTGAATGATCTTTCAAGGGAAGTTGACGAGGTATGGATACTCCCTCTTTCTACTTTGTTTTTTGTAGATAAAACGGATATTGAATATTTGAAATCAACTATTCTTGTGGATTTTTAGACTTTAATTTACATGGATGAGTTTGGCCTGTTAAGTGGAATGTGATAGTTATAATAGAATTTATAATCTAGATTGGAAAGTGCCTAAGGATAGAGGCGATATCCTTTGGTCCTTAGGGCATATGCTGCCTTGAATTCTCAATTCAGTTCTTTTTTCCAAGAGTATCCAGAATCATGTGTGCTCTTGCAGTATGAAATTGTTGGGAATTAGTCATGGTGTCAGCTTGGCATTTGTAAAGTTGCCTTGGCCCTTGAGTCCAGGTGACTTTAATAAGGTGCTTGACTTTGGCACCTAGCACAGAGTAACCAATGTGAAAGTGGCTCAAGCAAGCACCTCTGCTGAACTACCAATCCTTTTATATGAAGTTTACATGAATAACCCAACATTAGGCTGCCCTTCATCCATTTAAATAAATTTTTTTTGCTAAGATTAAATGAGTTGAAATAGTAAGATATAACTTTGGCTTTTCTAGATCTTCAAGAACAATTGGCCTTATGGCCAAAGAAGGGAACATATGGCACTTGATGCATCAGCTTGGAGAAAAAGAATTTACTTCATTGAGTTGAGCCAACTACATCAATATGGTTGGTGAAGAATTGGAAGTCCCTTTAACTGAATTCAATATTTCTTTTTGTCTCCTAGAAGCACCAATGTTGTGTCTGTGTTCTGTTCAAAATATGTGTAGATCTTAAATTAGAATGTGCAAGAGGCTTTTACAGTGTTGGGTGGGCCCAAAATGTAATAGCCTTTTCCCCTCTTTTGGTGGTGCTATGGGGTTGGACATGATACTGTTACAGTCTGATAGGAACTATAGATTTGTTTTCAGTCTTCTTTTTTTTTCATTTTCAGAAGAAAAAACTTTCTAAGTTCTATATGATGGGATTAATGCAGATTGTAGATCCTGTTCTAGCTATGCACCAGTTAAAGTGTCAGATACAAAGCAAAAACCATTCACAGGATAGTGCTGTTGCATCAAATGGTGATGCAGGGCAAGTTAAACCCAAGAAACTTAAGATGTCACCTTCATCCCTATCAGCTGGTGTTACCGCAAATTCTAGAAAAGAGGTTATATTCCTCTCTATCTCTCTGTGCACATTGTTGTTATTCATTCACTTTTAAATATTTCTGGCTTAGTAGAAAAATGGCATATTTTTCTTGAATTCATACATGATCTCACTAGAAATCCCAAATAATGTACGAATATTGGGTAACTCTGAAACATAATAACTTGAGCAAATGGTTTTTCAGCCTAAGGTCTATGATTAAATTGGCTGGCCATAGAATTTGAATGGTGTTTCATCAATATGTGGCATCTGCTGGAGGTTAGCTCTGAAGATAGCTTCCTCTCCCTTTCTTTCTTTGTGTGGTGTTACCTTTTGGCATGGAAAACTCAATCCCCACACTCCCCCAAGCTGTTCCACCCAGTGGATATGACAGCCTATTTGTGTTTATATCTGCTGATATCTTTGCCTGTGTGTTTTGATTTTCAAATTCATTGAGCTTAAGAAAGGAGTGTATGATGTGTCTGGTAAATAAATGTGTACCCATGTGCATATATTTGTGCATGAGGGATATTTGAGTCATTAGAGGCACTTGAACAGTGGCACAAAGTTAGGCATTATCTGTATTGACTTCTGGTGACTGTAAGCTTCATGTTATTATTCTTATTATTATTTTTTTTAGGAGGACAATGATCTGCAGTTCCTTCTACAGAGTGATGGCCAGCTTGTCGAGCAGACATTGAAAAAGTATTCAGATGAACTATCCAATACGGTGATTTTCTGAAATCATCTGTTGTCTTAATATAAAGCATTAAGGATATCACTCATAGCTTCTCTGTTTGGGCACATGAGGAAAGACTATGGCTGAAACCAAGGATCTCTACCTACCATCTACCCCCACTGATAGATCTTAGGTGGCTGTATGGCCCATATCTTATAGCCAAACTAATGCTGAATCCTGTTTTTTCAGCTGGGGCATATGGAACAGAGGCTTGAAGACCTTCTTGATACTCTTGTAGCCAAGTGCAGGTACTTTCATTTTATGAGAAATTTTTTCAGGTCTTAGCATGTGTTCTGTGGAACAGATCATCAGCAACAAGGTCATAGGCAAATGACTGAACTTTTGAAATGTGTGTTACTGAAGAAAGTTTGTGGCATTTTTGCTGAGTTCTTTTAACCTTTGTCTTCAATTTAAATATACAGGCCAATGACTCCTGCTGAGAAGCGGCATCTTCAAAAATTGATTCAAAAGCTACCACAGGAAAATATTGACCGTATTGTTGAAATCATCTGCCATAAGAAGCCAGCAGATAAGAAATATCAAGATGAAATTTTTGTTAATTTGGAGCTAGAGGTAAAGAAATAGCCATAAGATTTGTTCATGAATTAGTTTTAAATACCTAATATGTTCCTGAATTGTCTTTCAGGAAAATGCAACACTCTGGAGACTATATTTCTATGTTCAAGCGGTTGAGAATGCTAAGGAGCTTGCAAGGTAGCACAATCCTGATGACGTAGGCTCTATCCCTTATCAGAGGGGTTGATACAAGTATCACTGTCGGTGGCAACTGTGGCTTGATGGAGTTTTCTACTAGGTCCTACTGAAATTACTGATAAGCCTTTGTAGAATATT